TCCTCCTCCTCCTCCTCCTCCTCCTTCTCCTCCTCCTCTTCTTCATCATCATCATCCCCATCAAGCTCGGCTATCGTTTTTCAAGCTTCTAAACACGAAACCACAAGAGACAATCCATCTCACAGTATGAACAGTTCTAAAGTTATTCACCCGGACTTTAAAGAAAAATATAAAAAAGCAAAATCTCTACCATCATCTCAAAATGTTTTGGTTTTTTTAATCCTTACTTTTTGTTCTTTAAATATTCATTCTGAACCTCACCTGTATTGGTCTGGACCCAGGCCTTTCTCAACGCCCCCTGGACACGAGCCAAGCTCTCATTGGTCACTCGCCCGTCAATCACGGCCTGGTAGACACGCCTCAAGGGCAGTCCGACGGCGGGCATGGAGAGGTCTTGGCTGTTCAGGCTGTTGTTGATGGCGCCATAGCTGTCCAACACAGGCTGTTGTCCGAACTTTGTGGGTCGGTACAGGATCTTGGTCACAAGACGTCTGAGACAAAGGAGCATGGGAAGATTTGATGAAGTTCATTTTTAGCGAATCTTTTTAACCACAAGCTGGGCTACGGGGGAGGTGGAGTTCGTATTCAGCGAATCTTTTTATCAGAAGTTGGGTTATGGGAGAGGTGGAATTCATTAAATTTTGCGAATCTTTTTATCACAAGTTGGGTTATGAGAGGGTGAAATTCGTGTAATTTAGTTAATTTTTTTTATCACAAGTTGGGTTATGGGAGAAATGGAGTTCGTATTTAGCGAATCTTTTTACCAAGAGTTGGAGCCTAGGAGAAGTGGGTGGGATTTAAGGTGTGTCGGATCTTGAATACAAAACGACCGTCGTCAAGGATAGCGTAATGTGAAGGTGGTGTCAATCCTCATAACACATCAAAATAATTGACTACATTGGCGAAAGAAAAGGCCGAATTTTGAGAATAGTTTAGTTTGCCTTTGTAAAAATTCTGAGTGACTTTAGATATGTGTCAGTTGAAAACTGCAGTTTTACTCACCCACTCTGGTCTTGGAACATCTGTCTGTCTAGAATGATACCTCCATCTGTTGAAAGAAGAACAGAAATTACACGATAGGAATTCTTCAGTGAGGCATAAGTTGCTAAGAAAGTGCGTGTACCTGTTTGCGACATTGAAGTATCAATATTAAGATCATTAACAAAGTCAAAGACAACGTGAATGTAGTTTACGGTAACTTATTTTGTGTTTACTATTCTGTGTTTCTCTATGTGTTAATAAAGAGAAAGGGTGAGAGATGGAGGGAGGGGGGGGG